CCCCCCCCCCTTGAACTTAATTATTTGCTAAAACATCTCACAGAACTCAAGGAAACACTAGTTTATATTTACCAGTTCATTAAGGACATGATAAAGGATACAGCCAGCCAGAGGAAGAGATGCATGGGGTAAGGTCTGGGAGGGTCCCGAGCACAGGAGCTTCTGTCCCCGTGGAGTTGGGGTATGTCACCCTCCTGGCATGTGGATGTGCTCGCCAAGCCGGAAGCTCTCGGAACCCCTTACTATTGGGACTCTATGGAGGCTTCCTCACATAGGCATGATCAGTCACTAACTCCATTTCCAACCTCTTCCTCCTCTCTAGAGAAGCTGGGGGAGGAGGGGCAGGGGGTGAAAATTCCAAGCTTCTACTTCTGGCTGAGTCTTTCTGGTGACTGGCCCACCATCCAGGAGCCCACCCAGAGTCACCTCATCAGAACAGAAGATGCTCCCAGTGCTCCTATCACTTAGGAATTTACAAGGGTGTTAGGAGCCCTGTGTCAGGCAGGGGCTGGGGACAAACACCAAATATATATTTCTTATTATAAATCCCAATATCACACTTAGCACTACCTTTATTACCCCACGCTTTCAAGACCGTCAAACTGCTTAGAGATCCCCGTAACCTTGGGGTGTGGAACTGAAATTATAGTGCCCTAGAACTTTAAGCCTGGGGTTTAGTCAGTCCAAACATTTCCTTTTATAGAAAAGGCTACTGAGGCTCAGAGAAGGGCAGTGCGGGCCCAAGGTCACACTGCCAGAGGAACAGGAGTCAGGTTCTGACTTGGAGACCAGGCACTAACCTGCTTCCCTAAGGGATTGGCCTGTTGGGAGGTCCCCTGCTCTGCCCCTCCCGGTTTCTCTTTTCTTGACAACACTCTCCCTTTCCCATTGTGTATTCCAGATTTCTCTACACTACTGGCACGCTCATCATAGCCTTCACCTCTGCAGGTGAGTGCTGTCAGGCGGGCGGGGGGCACCTGGTGGACGGGGCAGGTGCAGAAGGTGACGGCGGGACACACCGACCCCCACAGTTATGCAGAGATCCACAGACTTTGAGCTCGAAAGAATCCCTGAAAGAATTACTCCTGGCCTATGGAAACAGTTTGGTCTACTGAGAAGTGTTTGGAGGCATCGCTTCAGGGAGTAGAATGTATTAGAACGATTGCATTCTCCCTCTGGTATGTGTTAAAATGCTCTGTCTCTTTTAGAAATGAAATGAGGATGCGGGTGACAGGTGCTTTTGAAAACAGCCTTACTTAGCAGGGCAAAAGCTGACCACCCTATGGTCGTCAAAAGTTGTCTTTTCAAAATTTTCTGGTCTACAAACATAGAAAATTCCCCAAGTCTGGGAATTCCAATCTGGTTCATTACCCCCTTCCCCCATTAGAGGAGAAAACTGAAGCCAGAGAGAGACCCCTGGCAAAGACTTGCCCTGGGCCCTTGACTGGCCAAGAGATTCCTTCCAGCATTACTCTCCGGTGTCAGATCACGTGGCTCCATTTTTGGGTTAGTAACAGCACATAACTCGTGTGTGTGTGTGTGTGTGTGTGGGGGGGGTACCTGTGCTGAAGCCAGAAGGCGACGTGGGGTCATCCCCATTTTGCCCAGTTCGGACAGGCTGGTGTCTTTGTCCAAACAGATCTCATGCGATAGCCCGGCACCTGGAGCCAGTTATTTAAAACCACTTTCCTCATTCAACCGTTGGCTTCTTCTTTCCTAAAAGCCTGTAAAAGATTTTCAAGTGGCCAAATGTGGAGAGCTGGCTGGGGATGCTTGACTCGTTCACGAATCATTTGAGCAACAGTTCCTCCTTCCCCCATAACATAGACCTTTTTTTGGGGGGGGAGGTATTGGGACCATACCCAGCCTATTGTGAAATAAATCACAACCAACCTTTTGTGCCTTAGGAGACCTGTACCTTTTAGAAAGACAGAAATTGAAAGGTAAACAGTTCAAACACTGGGCAATGGGCACTTTACCTGCTTCTCAAGGTGGAGAACAATCATTAATTACTCCAGAGGATATCAGGAAACAGCCAAAAGGAATTAGGACTCAAGGTTCTGACTTGGAGACCAGGCACTAACCTCTTTCTCCAAGGGATTGGCCTTGCTGCATTAACAAACACTGGGTCACCCACCTGGTGGAAAAGTTGTTCCCCTTTTATTTCCCTCTCGGTTCTCTGATTTCATGAATGGAGCTCTTGACGTGGGGCTGGTGTGATTTTAACATTCTGGCAGGAGCTGGTTTCTGGCTGTGAGCATTCCGAGGGCAAGTGCATTCATGCATCCAGTTGTAATTTAATAATATTGTTTTCCTTTCAGTGTATTTATTTTTGCAGTGACTTGCTATTTATGACACGCAGCACAGGTTTCTTTTCACGCACAATAGTGATATGAAGTTTCCTTTAAAAAATAATAGATTTCTTTTGGGTAAAAGTGAATCAACTTAAAAAAAAAAAAGTGTTAACAAATACTAGTGTTACCGGATGGGGACCGGGTCTGCAGCAGGTCTGCCTTGGGCTGGCCTGTAGTGTGTGGGTTCTTGTCTTCCTGCAGGAAAGATATCGCAATACAAGTCCAGGTGATTGTGAGAGTACATTTATTAATGCTGGGGACAATGAAAAAAAAGGAAGGGCTTAGGATAGAAGCAACAGGAGATAGGCTAGGTGGGGCTGCTTTGGCTCTCTAGAAGCGTTATAGGAAAGAAGTGAGCCAAGGCGAGGATGCTGTTAGCTCACTGGGAAGTCAGAAAAAGGGGCCTTGGGAACAGGGTCAGAGGGTAAGCCCCAGACGAACTGCCCACTGCTCCCCTGGTGGAAAGTCTCTCGGGGACACTTAGAGTTTAGGAGAAAGAAAGTAAAAAGCTCATGCCTGAGAAGAGGCAGGGGCGTGCTCCAGAGAGAGCCCGCCCTGGCATCCTTTGTCTTGAGGGTTTTTTTCTCTCTTCTCCGGGCAAGAATCTTAGGGGAGGGTTTCAGCAGAATATTCATCAGCTTTCCATGTGCATTTTTAATATGCTGACGCATCAAAATGAGCGTATAGGGGAGTTTGGGATTATTCTTTGGTCAGCTTTACTGTTTTACTTTTATCTTGGATCTGTCTGGCTTGAGTCGTGTTTCTGTTATTTGTTCCCCTGACTTCATCCGTCCTTGGGTTTGGCTGGCAAAATTGGCATTAATTGGGTCTCTGTTCTCTCTCTCCCTGACCAGGATGATTTAAGCTGTTAATGCTCCAGTTTGTTCTCAGGTGTCCTTGGTTAGGGAAGATAAGGTCTTACAGTTCACTAGCTGTCTGTAAGTTGTTCAGATTGTTTGGCCTTGTTTAGTTATTTTATCTCAAAATTTTCCCATTCCCAGGAACTTTCCTAGCTTCTTACATCCTGCCTCACTGGGATGGGCATGAGTTATGGCCAAAATCATGAAGGTGGCCAGAAGTTCGTGGTTTGGGAAAGACTAATTATTAAGCCCCCTCCTCACCTTGGCATATTAGTAGTTTTGCTGTTATCCAACACTTTCCAGACCTATTGTAATGATTTTTTTTTTTTTTTTTGGCATGTCAGTCTTTTCAAGGGCAAGGAGTGTTCCTTACCCAACCTGCATTTCCAATGCCGAGCACAGTGCTGGCTTGAAGGAAGCGCTCCAAGTTTAATGAACAAGGAAGGACACCCATGGCTATTTTCTCCCTGAGAGCTCACAGGACCCACTGAGGCAGGAGGAGCGGGGGACTGAGCCACAGAGTCAGAGTCCATTCAAGGTCCTGCAGTGAATGTGGGGCTGGCCCTGGGGCTGAGTCCAGGCTCCTTGCCCACAGTGTCAGGGATGAGTAGAGGGCTGGTCAGGGTCAGTGAAGGCAGGGAGCAGTGGCTTCACTTCGAGTCGTCTGTAGGGATCCAGGCCTGCCACAGGCCAAGGGCCATCTTTGGTGAGGAAAAGGTGGCTCAGGAGAGGCCCCTCCGTGGGGACCTTTGGGGGAGCCCCCAACCAGTATTCTAAGATCCCAATTTCTAGAAGGCTGGCTAGAATTGGGGCCCTGCCTCCAGGGCTGTCGGGAATTTGGAGCAGGCGGGAGCCAGAGTTTGAGGCTCCGTGTTTGGGCCGCACTGTGAAGCCACCCACCCCTGTCTCCGATTGTTCCAGGCTCGGCGCTGCTGCTTTTCCTGGCCATGCCCATGCTCACCGTCGGGGGAATCCTGTTTCTGATCACCAACCTGCAGGTAGAAGCCCACCCCGGTGCTCCCCGCATCCAGGGCACCTGGCGGGAGGCTGAGGCGGGATGAGGGGAGCGAACCGCTTTCCTGTGTCAGCTGCCTCAATGGGGGCTGACCAGCCAGGGTGGTGGCTGCTGGTGGAGGGCAGTCGGGGAGAATGATGGCCTGGCACAGGCTTTCACGAAGAAGTGAGTGACTCAGGCTGGTCCTGTGCTCGCCAGGTTGGGAACCTATTTGGCAAACACCGCTCGACCATCATCACCCTCTACAATGGAGCGTTCGACTCTTCGTCAGCCGTGTTTCTTATCATTAAGGTAAAAATTAGCAACAGCTAAGCTTTATTGAACACTTGCATATGCCAGGCACCTGTCTATGCACTTGGTGTGATTTATCTCAACAACCCTTCTGCAGCTAGTAACGTGACATTTGAACTTGAAACCAGGCCTGTCTGGTTCTAGAGCCTGAGCTCGTAACCCTTAAGCCCCTCCTCTAAACTTACATTGGATTTTGGGGAGAGGCTAAGGGAAGGCATGGCCATGATGCGCTTGGGCCAGTACTGGGCATAGGGTGGGGTCCCTTTGGAATGGGGCGTTTGCACTTGTGAGTTTCTTGTTTGGACAGGGAGGTGGCAGGTGGCTGGTGGGGACTGCGGGGGCAGACAGAGGCCTCTCCAGCTCTCCTAAAGACCAGTGCTGGAGTTCAGGGGGGTGGGTTGTTGTCGGGCTGTTGGTGGACCATCCAACAGCCACACTACCTTCTTCATTGCGCTAAGTTTCATCAGGGCAGTGATGCGCCAAGCCCAGGGGATGACTCTTGATTGATTTAAGCCAACTGGTAATCCCTTTCCCCCTTGTTAGTAGTGGGTAGAGGTGGTCATATTATCCAGTCTTTGTTCATGAGATGAAAGGGGTATATACTGGAAGACTTTAGGGGATATTTCCCTCTCTGATCGAAGATGAGAGCAGAACAAAAAGAAAGCCTTTCTCCTTGGTCCCGTTCCCACCCTTCCTCTTTGAATTTATTTGGTGGGATGGCGTGATAGCTAGAATTGCGGCAGCCATACTGTGATTATGAGGCAAGTAGCTGGGACAAAAGTTAGTGCATTAAGGATGGGTGAAAGGAATGAAAGAATGTGGGTCTTTGACACCCCAACCTGCCAAACCTGGGACTTCCTTTTGGGCTTTGTGTCAGGCCAGAGGCAGCTGGCATAGCCTGTGGGCCATGGGGGAGGACAAGAGGGCCCCTGGGGGTCACTGCCCAGACGTAAGGCTAGCTTAGTCCCATGAGCACCTTGGCTTGAAGGGTCACCCAAAGACTGAGCCTCTAGGGTGCTTACTCAAGCCTCTCTACCCCTGGTACAAGAGCCGGTTTCTAGGTTGTCCCTCCTTCGCCTGGATGTACCCCCCACCCCCACCCCCTCTTAGGGTCGGAAGAGGAGAGAGTACTAGAGCAAGAGCTGGCTTTCTCAGTGCAATCCGACCTTGCTGCCGCTTACCCTGACCTTGAGCAATTTGTTGTTCCTCTCTAGATCCCTCTTTTTTTTTTTTTACCTTCTGTAAAATGAGGAGGTTGGGCTAGATCAATGGTCTTCAAACTGGGTGTTGAGGAGCCCTGAAGGGTGCCCTTGGACGTTATGTCAATCACCAAGGAGAATGAGGGGAGGATGACTGGGACCCTCTCCACTGATGAATTGAATTTTTGTGTGAAATTTGTTTAGACAAAAAGACTTTGCTGCTATTGAAAAAAAAAGCCCTGGGTTAGAAAACCTCTGAGAAGCCACACTAGGAGGCTCTACAAGGCTATGGGAATGGCGGCATGCAGCCCAACCCCACCCCACCCCACCCCACCCCCTATCCC